ATTTTCGGCACACCCCTCACATGTTTCGTGGCCCCATCGGAGCTCCACCGAAGGCCCCAGTGGCAAGGTTTACATGCGTCCGCGCCACCCATTTCGGCACACCCCTCAAACGTTCCTGGCATCATAGGGAGCTCCACCCAAGGCCTCAGCGACTGGGTTTACATGCGATCGCGCGACCCATCCCAGCACAGCTCTCACACGGTTCGTGACCCCATGCGGAACTCCATCACCGAAGGCGCCAGTGGCAGCCGGAGGCCTAAATGACAGGGTTCGCATGCGTCCGCGCCACCCATTTCGGCACATCCCTCACACGTGTCGTGGCCCCGTAGGGAGCTTCACCGAAGGCCCCAATGGCAGGGTTCGCGTGCGTCCGCGCCACCCATTTCGGCACATCCATCACACGCTTCGTGGCCCCATGCAGAGCTCCACCGAAGGCCCCAGTGGCAGGGTTTACACGAGTCAGCGCCACTCATTTCGGCACATTCCTCACACGTTTCGTGGCCCCGTAGGGAGCTCCACCGAAGACGAGACTCACAACTGCAGAACTCACAACCGCATATGGTTGGGTCGTTCGCCTGGCAGAGTCGTCCTCTCCCAGGTGCTCCCCCAAGGAGTTCCACCACCGTCCAATAGCTTGGCCAGACTTTGGCCCAACGTTTGATCGCATGTACGTTCCAACATGCAGGGGGCGCGGTGGTTCGCCATAAACCTATTCGATCCGCGTTGAACAAACATGATAACTGCTCCTTTTCAAGCTGGGGCTCCCGCTTTAGACTTCCAAAGGCTCAGCAGCCAGGAGAGTAAACTTGCCCACTCGCTGCACGGATGAGGGCGGATCAATTTCAAAACAGGTCTCTCGCTGGACGCACCATAGAACTCCACGATCTCAGCGTGTCGCGAGCCGTCTGCCTGCCAGCGCGGAGCCCAAACAGCAAGCACGTGCGCTGTGGATGCGTTTACGCTGCGTGGTGCAAGCTGCGAGGCGGGAGATGGGGAAACCAAAAGGTACCGATACCGCTACTCCCCGGACCTCTCCCGGGTTGCGTTCTGACCAGGATTTCGACGCGAATCCAGCGGTAACAACGAGAGCCTCCGAGGAGGCCGGAAAAGGGGAAAACAGGCGAAAGGTAGCGGTATCGGTACCTCTTCCCCCTCTGAGGAGATGCGTGGAGCAAGCCATGCGGTGCAAGCCACGTGCTGCAAGCTGTGCTGTTTGGTGCAGGCTGTGCGGCGCGAGCTGTGTGGTGCCAGGCGTGCGATGCCAGCTGCCCGGCGCACAGCTCTGTGCGGCGACGCGCGCGGCCGCACGGCGCTCGAGGCGATGCACTCACGGGCAGCCACGGGCGGGGACAGGCCCAGACATGCGGCACCCCGACTTTTGTCGGGACGGCGCCCCCCTGGAAGCCCAGACCCTTTCCCCGGGGCCAGCTTGTCGAGTCGGGGATCTTCGAAGACCAGAACCAGGCCAGTCGGGCCTTGCAGGATCCCGCAAGGTCCTGCAAGATCCTGCACCCAAGCCTGGGTCAATGCGAAGAACCCTGCAGGCTCCTGCAGGATCCTGCACCCAAATCCGGGTCAACGCGACCCGGGCCCTGCAGGATCCTGCAAGAGCCGGCGCTCTGGCCGACCCCCCTCTGCATGGACCCCCGTCTCAAGGCCATCGAGTCCTTTTTGGGCGGCCCCTTGGGACCGAGGAGGGCCCCCATGGGGCCGAATGTGTGGCGACAGGCCGCCCGTCCGGACTCCTGCTTGCTCGCGACGCGACCCTGGCCTGGGGCCACGCCTCGACCTCCCGCCCACGGCACCGAGGCGCCCCAAGGCGCGCACGGCACGAGACGCCCGGCGAGGGCTCGGCCGCCCCCGCCCGGCGCCGCCAAGGGCGCGCCCGCGGGCGGGCGCCGGGCGAGGCCTCGGCCCACCCGCGGCGCGCGAGCTGGCGCACACGCGGCGCTCCCGCGGGCGGGGGCTGGGCGCGACCTCTCGGCCGACCCACCCGGCTCGAGGCTCGAGGCCCCCACGGGCGCCCTCGGGCGCTCCACGAGCCGGGCACCAGGCCCCGTGAGTGCCTCGGGGAGGTGCAGCGGAACCTCCCAGTGCGAGCGCTGCCTGGGGAAGAGCTCGCGGAGAGGATGCATGGCCTTCCGTTTTCAGCACGGGGCTCTCGCCTGGAAGGGCAGGCGCACAGGGTGCTTTGTCTCCAAGGGAGCACTTCAGGCACTGAAAGGTGAGACTCGCCAAGGGCTTCTGAGAAGTGGAGTTTGGATGGGAGGGTGTACTGAAGCATCGTTGATGATCCCTGGGTGTGCTGTGGTCCTCTTCCTTCTCCTGACTGCCTCCTTCTCCGATCCTCATCCGCCTCCTCCTCCCCGTCATCTCTCTTCGTCAACCATGTGTCCACACCCCAACGGGTTT